AGCATAGCTTTTCTGTCGATCTTGGGCGGCCTTCAGTCTCTCCTGAATGACTTTCACCTTCTCCTTGGTGATCTCAACTAGCTCAGTACCCTCGAGCTTGGCCTCGCCAACCTCATCCCAACACAAAGGCGTCCGACATTTCCTCCCATACAATGCCTCGTATGGGGGCATGCCTATACTCGCCTGATAACTGTTGTTGTAGGCAAACTCCACCAAAGCCAACTGGTTGTCCCAACTTCCTTGGAACTCCAAGGCACATGCCCTCAACATGTCCTCCAAAATCTGAATCACCCGTTCAGATTGCCCATCCGTTTGAGGATGGAATGCCGTGCTAAACCTCAACTTTGTTCCCATGGATTCCTGGAACTTAGGCCAAAACCGTGATGTGAACCGTGGGTCTCTATCCGACACTATAGTAACCAGAACCCCATGCAGTCTCACGATCTCATCTGTATACAACTTGGCCAGTCGCTCAAGCGTATAAGTAGTGTTGATAGGTAGGAAATGAGCACTCTTGGTCAGCCTATCAACCACCACCCATACCGCGTCGTAGTTCCTAACCGTCCGTGGCAGACCTACCACGAAGTCCATAGTAACATGCTCCCACTTCCATTCTGGAATGGTAAGTGGCTGTAATAATCCTGCTGGGTGTTGGTGCTCTGCCTTAACCTGCTGACAGGTAAGGCAACGACTCACACATTCTGCAATATCTCTCTTCATCCCCGACCACCAGTAACTTTCTTTCAAGTCCCGGTACATCTTTGTTCCACCTGGGTGCATGGCATACGCAGATGAGTGAGCCTCCTCAAGAATGGATTTTCGGAGCTCCTCATCCGACGGCACACACACTCGTTCCTTGAATAGTAGGAGTCCATCTTCTCTCTCACGGAACCCTTCCACGGGCCCCACCGGCATCCATTCCCGGATTTTCTGAATTTCCTCGTCATTGCCTTGACGTGTCCTGATTTCGTCTAATAATGTGGGTCTCACCTCAAATCTGGCCAATAGAGCCCCATTCGTGGATACCTCCACGCGTGCCCTCAATGCTTGCAAGCATGAGAGTAAAACCCCCGATGAACTCTTCCTACTAAGAGCATCGACCACCACGTTAGCCTTCCCTGGATGATACTCGATGATCAAGTTGTAATCCTTGATCAACTCCATCCATCTTCTCTGCCTCATGTTCAACTCTTTCTGAGTGAACACATACTTCAAACTTTTGTGATCAGTATAAATGTGACACACCTCACCGTAGAGGTAATGCCTCCAAATTTTCAAAGCAAACACCACAGCTCCTAGCTCAAGGTCATGTGTGGGGTAATTCACTTCATGCTTCCTCAGTTGCCGAGAAGCATAAGCAATTACCTTACCCGATTGCATCAGTACGCACCCAAGCCCCTGGATGCTAGCATCGCTATAAATGTCATACCCCAACCCCTGCACGGGTAGGGCAAGTACTGGTGCTTCCGTCAACCGTTTCTTTAGCTCAAGAAACCCTTTCTCACACTTGTCATCCCACACAAACTTAGCTCCCTTTTTAGTGAGCTTCGTGAGTGGAGATGCTATCACCGAGAACTTCTCCACAAATTTGCGGTAATACCCCGCTAAACCAAGGAAACTCCGTATTTCCTTCACATTCTTGGGCCTCTCCCAATTAGTGACCGCTTCAATCTTCGAGTTATCAACTGAAATGCCCGAGCCTGATACTACATGCCCGAGAAAACCGATCTCCTCAAGCCAAAATTCACATTTAGAGAATTTGGCAAAGAGTTGTTTCTCCCGCAGTGTTTCAAGTACGAGCCTTAGATGTTTCTCGTGTTCTTCTTCGTTCTTGGAGTATATCAAAATGTCATCAATGAACACTATGACGAATTGGTCCAAGTATTGATGAAATACTCGGTTCATGAGGTCCATGAATGCCGCGGGGGCATTTGTAAGCCCAAACGACATTACTAGGAACTCATAGTGACCATACCTTGTACGGAATGCACTTTTGGGTATGTCACTCTCCTTGATCTTTAGTTGATGGTAGCCCGACCTCAAGTCGATCTTGGAGAACACGGTTGCCCCCCGTAATTGATCAAACAAGTCGTCAATCCTTGGCAAAGGATATTTGTTCTTTATCGTGACCTTGTTCAGTTGACGGTAGTCGATACACATTCTCATTGTGCCATCTTTCTTCTTAAGATGGCTCGGTCTAATGAATCCGTTATCTAGTAACTCTTCCAATTGAACTTTCAACTCTTGAAGTTCAGCCGGTGCCATTCGATACGGAGGTATTGAGATGGGTTTGGTGCCTGGCTCAACCTCGATCTCGAACTCAATCTCTCGATCTGGTGGGAGTCCCGGGAGTTCTTCCGGGAAAACTTCTGGATACTCACTCACCACCCTCACCTCTGTGAGGCTCTTTCCTTTGCCTTCCTTACCTATGACATAGGCTAAATATGCCTGATAGCCTTTGTTCATCAGACGCCTCGCCCTTAAGGCCGATATGATGCAGGGATTGAATTTTCCTCTATCTCCCTCGAAGCATAGAGTATTTCCCTCGCCGTCTTCTAATTCTAACACCTTGGTGTAGCAATCTACCTTCGCATGGTGTTTCTCAAGCCAATCCATGCCGAGTATGACATCGAACTCAAGCATGTCTAACGGTACAAAGTCGCCCATTAGACGGTGCTCCCCTATCTCCACATTACATGAAGGATAGTAGTGCTTCCTCTCTACATCATCTCCCAACGGTGTAGAGACCAACAGAGGCTGCGTCATCGCCGTTAATGGCATGTCCAAACCCTCGACAAACGCTTCGCTCATAAATGAACGTTGCGCCCCGGTGTCGATGAGAATTCTCGCTTGTCTACCGTTGATCTTTAGTGTTCCTACATATATTAGTCATGTAAGACACATTACTCCACGTCCCGACTGAAAAGGACTGAACGAAAAAATATTCTAGCTTGGGACTACCCTATACCCGGTCGGGTAACTCTCCATACCCGGTCGGGTAACACTCGGGCTCCTAAGAAGAAACTCCCTGTCAACACTGCCCGGTCGAGTATATGTCTATACCCGATCGGGTATCATTTAGGTTTTTAAACAACAACCCCCTGTAATTTCTGCTCGGTCGAGTACACACCTCGAACCCGAACAAACATCTATACCCGGTCGGGTATGTGCCCATACCCGGTCGGGTATCACTCAAAGTTTTAAACGAGGAGCTTCCTGCCCACGACGTTCGATCGAGTACACGCCTCGAACACAGAAATTTACTAATACTCGATCGAGTATATAACCATACTCGGTCGAGTATGGCTGGATTTGCCAAAACCGAAGGATCCTGCTAAACTTGCTCGAACGAGTACACACCTCGGGGCTGCAACATAGCCCATACCCGGTCGGGCCTATGGGGTTACCCGATCGGGTCATTCGTATTTCCTGAGGTTTTGCTTTTATGAATGTATAAAATGCATGTGTAATCAAGAGGTTACCTGTAATGGAGTCCGGGTTGGCCCGAGCATCGGCCTCGGTCATCGCATACACCCGCGCTTGGGTCCTCCCTTGATTAACGGACACGGCGTTACTAGCCGTGGGTCCGCTCCTTCCCGTGCCGCCTTGAGATGGTCCCGCACGCCCCCTACTAGGCGTAGGTCCTTCAGGGACTCCCGATGGTCCCTCTCCATTTAGCACATGCTTGTGCACACAATGTGGAATTCCGACAGGTGTTTGTTTGGATCCTCCCCTCGTAAGCCATGGAAATTTGGAAGGAGATGAATGAGCCCAGATTTTAGCTCAAATGTGACCCCCGTATCAAGAGTTGGAAAAGTGATACATAGGGGTTGTTGATTAAGATTCGGAGCTGTGAGCTCCCTCAATGTTCTCGTCTCAAGAGCCATAGTGATTGGCTCTTCGGTTTCGCTAGATTGAGAACTAGCACTTGATGATTCCTCCGAAGAGGTATTCGGAAATATATTCCTAAACCTTTCGAAGGCTTGTTCCGTTTGGGGGTTTGTTTGGTAGATGATTTCGTTTATAGATCGGGTTCTTACCATATACTCAAACAAAGATTAGAAGAAATAGAAATCTTTATACTTCAACTATATATTTTTTTTTTCTTTAAAATAAAATAAAAAGAAAAATAAATTGCCTTTCCCCGGCAACGGCGCCAAATTTGACGTGCACTTTGTCGTGAGTGCACTCAAAATAAATTCAATACTATCACTAATACGTAGTATAGTGTAGTAAGGTTCGTATCCACAGGGAAAGGAACACTCTTCTTTTTATATAAATAAATAAGTAATAACAGGGGGGTTTTATATTTGGTTGATGAACTTAAATTATCTTTAAACACGAAGATGAACGAGTTATGTGGTTTAATTAATAAGAAGGAGACTTGGCTTTGCTTTTATCCACTTAATGAAATGTTCGTCGATCCCGGTTATATCTTTAACTATCTTCCTCTCGAATACTCAATCGAGGAGTATATCCAGTTCATTGAGGGTAGTTATTAATAACGAGATGCGTTCATTAATAAAACTTACTATCGAGTCAATATAGAACAAGCGCCGTATATTAACTTGATAGTAGCAATAAACTTAAGATGAAAACGATTGAGATTGATAACCTCAACTCAAGCGGTTTGTTGGTTAATCAATGTAATTAATTCCCCTTGGATTATTGACCATGAGATGCATGCATTAATAATCCAAGTTTACTACCGTGAAAGGACCGAATTAATAACAAGCGTATTAATCGACCGATTCTAGTATTAATTAATATATGAAACAAAACTAGTTGATCCCTTAAGTAATGTTCAAAATATTAATATGAAATATGAATAGGAATTAATTAATACTCAAGAAAGAATATTAAAGAAGATGAATCCTACTATAATTAATATCAAGATGTTAACTAATTGTCATCTTAGTAACACTCCCCAACATTGATATAGAAATAGTATTTAAAGGAAGAATTAATATTCAAGGAAGAAGATTAAAGAGAATAACTCACAACTTACAAATTCATTAAGCTTCAAAGTAGCAAACCAAGATATGGAAGTTTAGCTCCTCATTTGGAGACTAAACATGCTAAAAGAAATATAGAGAAATTCTATTCTAAACTGAGCTTAAGAGTATATAGGAATTGGTAATCTAAAAGTGAAGGAAAGGAGGTGTATTTATAGGCTTTTTGAGGTGCAGGTCGAGTACTCGATCGAGTATGTACATATACTCGATCGAGTATGTGTAAAACTTCGAATTCGATCCATACTCGATCGATATTCGGGTATAATTTATAGCTATACCCGATCGAGTATGTCGGTGTACCCGATCGGGTATAGACACTTGATCGTGGGAAAATCTTCTCCTGCATGTTCCTTTGTTCCCGGATCAAATCCTTGAAAATCAGTATTGGTACTCGATCGAGTATAAGGTGTACTCGACCGAGTACAGGTCAAAATCAGGAACTTTCCTTCTTTTTGTCTTGTACTTTTGCACCTTCCTTCACCAATGATCATTTGATTGATCTTGGACCTGTTTAAGCTCAGAATAAACCTAATCTAAACAATTTACAAGAATTTAACAAACTAAACTATTACACCGAAAGTGTGTAATTTCCGAAATACTAAACAACCAAAACTAACTAAAAACGTAAATAAACACACGGAAATTACAAAAGTATCACAGAGAGCCAATCAGACCTCTATAGAGTGTAGGATCAGTGGCTTTGCCATCTTCATCTGGAGTCAGTCCTTGAGAGGTGTTCATGGGGATCTTTACAATAGACTTGTTCTCAATTTTGAATTTCTTCATGAGATCTCTTGTGTATTTTGCTTGGTTGATGAAGATACCTTGTGGAGTCTGCTTCACTTGTAGTCCTAGGAAATAGTTCAACTCTCCCATCATGCTCATTTCAAACTTGTTTTGCATGAGAGTTGAAAATTTCTTACATAATGCCTGCTTTGAGCTTCCAAAGATTATGTCATCCACATAAATTTGGACAAACAGTATGTGTGGACCTTCTTCACTTTTGAACAGAGTTTTATCTACTTTGCCTTTAGTGAAACCGTTGTTCACTAAGTATTGAGAGAGAGTGTCATACCATGCTCTTGGAGCTTGTTTGAGTCCATAGAGAGCCTTCTTTAGTTTGAATACTTGATCTTTCTCTCTGTTGATTTCAAATCCAGGAGGTTGCTCCACATAGACCTCCTCTTCTAGTAGACCATTTAGGAAGGCACTTTTCACATCCATTTGATAGACTGTGAATTGCTTATAGGCAGCATAAGCAAGGAATATTCTTATTGCTTCAAGTCTGGCAACAGGAGCAAAAGTTTTATCAAAATCTATTCCTTCTTCTTGACAGTAGCCTTTGGCTACCATGTTCTCCCAAATCACGCGTCCCCATGGATAAGCATTAAACTTGTCAATGTCATCTACAAGGTTAATGTGTATACTGTTGACAGCAACCTTTTCTTCCGCGGCTAAAAATGAATGGGATAAAACATATAACAGGGACAAGCTAACAATATCATTATCGTCTTCCTTGCCCCTCTCGATAGCTTTGAACACTTTTTTAATATCTTTACGTTTGACTCTAGTTGCACAAGAAGGAAAGTACTTCTGCCAAACACGACCCCTATCAGTGACTAGATTCTGATAAGAAGGGACCTTATCGGACACATTCAACCCCAGAATATGACCCAAGTCAGAAATGGTGAATGATACCAACCTGTCCTCAATATCAAAGTACAAAACGCCGCCTACCACAGTATCATCGCTTCCATGTTTAACGAGGTTTCCAATAAGAAAATGCAATAGCTGACCGGAACATTGCATTTCCTTGGCATCTAAGAACTTCCCAAAAACTGTAGTACTAAAAAGTTCTAATTGCTTAGGGAGTAGTTTTGATCGAACAAGATTTATGACCTCATACAATCTAGAAAAGGTGTTAACTCTCCTGGTAGTGTCCTTATTGACAATCTGTTTCTTGACAGCTCTATTAAGTGGCTGGGAAAAGTAGACATAAAACAGGGGTTAGAATGAATAAGTAAAATAACCTTTAATACTAGTACCTCTATATAGCAAAGTTAACTTACAACATTAGATGAAGAGGTAGGAGGGGTGGAGACAAAGTCACTGTCAATGTTAGCTGCAAGCAAAATAAGTATGAACCTAATCTTTATATATATATAACAATGGAACCGTGTGTCAAATAACTGTTCCCGCCAAGAACAATGTCTGACACGTCATTATATAAAACGTTTGTTCAATAATCGGTTAATATCTGTACACATGCAATTAAGGGGAATAAGAAAAATATGTTTATACTTCATTTGGTTTATTCCCGGCCCCGTAAATGATGAAAACCGTGAATAACCAATTTGATTGAGAATGTAATGTGTTTAGTTCAAAGAAGGGGGACCGGAATAGCTATATGCATTGTAAAACTCAGGGCATTTGAAGCCGTTGCTTCAAAGCACTTTGGGGAAGCTTCGATCTGATCTAACTAATTAAGGGGAATGAGAAAGATAAGGAAAGAAAGGAAAAGCAGATTGATCATATTTCAGACAAGGACACAATGAATGGATATGGCCTACTGGAAGCAAAAGAACTTATACGGATGATGATATTATAATAGTAATCCCAGCCCCTACCTATGAACCCTCTCACTTGTGTCAATAACTGAGCTATTCCTGTACGCGAATAGATGATTTCCTTAAATTTGTGTTTTGTGTCACAAACCCTTTTATTTTTTATTTAAGTTTGTGTTTTGTATCGCAAACCCTGTTATTTTTATTTAAATTTGTGTTTAGAATACTGTGTGTAATTAAAAGTGATTTGTTAATTCAATGTGTTTTAGGTTATTTACGTTAACTTCTATGGACTTTTTTGGGTAAACTTCTATGGACTTAAAAATAGTTTTTTTAAGTTAAAAAAACAAGAATTCATACACATACATGCAACTCACTCTTACTTTTGTTTTATATTTCCTTGATGATTAAAGGAATATAGATATACATGTCCAATTAGAGTTGTTTTATTTTTATTATGTGTAATTCAATTTTGAATAGAACAAAAAAATACTATCGTATTATTTGGTGCCAAATTTGGAGTCATTTTTGGATTCATTATCAAGGTTGAACTCGACTCCTTAATATATGTGAGAATGCCTTTTACGTTTCAACGCAAATTCCCTCTAATGGTATCAAATGGAATGATGATCAACAAAAGTCAGCTCTCTCAAATGTTACCAAGCGAGAAGGATGAAAATATTGACAAGCAATACATGTGGCTTCTCAAACAATTTCACAATAAATGTCATTATATATGTGGAAGTTTCTAAAAAAATGTACAATTTCCACTATGTTTGCTTTATGTACCCACTTAGTTTAAGCACTTACATAGCATAATTTTCTTTTAATTTTTTGAATGTACTTCAAACCTATTATAGTGATCTTACTACATCATACAAGTATTTTAATGTTCTTACAATAAATATGTCTTACATTAATATTTCAATTATACTACGTATGTATTTAATTTCACCATAATTAAAAATAAAAAAAATTCTCCCGCCGGGTACAATACTAGTATTAATAAAAGTATCATAATGACATTCAAACAAGACTGAGCTACAAGTTAATTTAAATAAAGTAACAAACTAGGTACATCGGTAGACTGTAATTCTCTACATCGGTAGATTACCAATCAAAAAACATAATATCTAATGGATTGGGAAGTAACATTCGGTGGAGGAATAGCAAATCCTCCAACTTTAATCAAAATCAAATTTATGAGCAGAGTCTGGAATCGTGTTCGCAAGCAAGGAAAACTTACTGCATGAGGCTTCAACACCGGAACGGCGACGAGAGGTAGAAGGCGGTGACATTTCATTCACGAGAGACAACCGGCTGCGGGTGGAGAGTGGAATGATGCAACAGAAATGGAAAAAAAATCTAAAATAAAGAGAGATGCAGTTACCAAGTAGGAGTGTAGTTCACTGGGAAAGACGTTAATGAGGAGGGAGAATTGAAACTATAATTTAGGCGTGGGTCATCGACTGACCGGGTAAAAATGACCGTTTTAATTAAATAAGGTAGTATTTTGGGATATAAACAATAAGGTCTTATATTAGGAAATCAAAAGGTCTCTAGTAATATTAGAGCCATTTTTTCCAAACTCAAACTCTAGTGAAGTTATATATATTTTCGACTCTTTTGAAATTCGATTAGAGTTTGAACTCAACTCTTTTTTTATCAGGCACAACTCAATTTAAGCTGAATTCTGTCCAGCCTTATATAGGAGGTTCTGTCCGGCCGACGCCATTTGGGCGGTTCCCGGTGGAATTTTTTGATCATTTTTTTTAGCATCTTATTCATTAAGTCTAGTTTACTCATACCAAATTTCAACTAAAACTTCAATCGAGAAGACATTCAAATAAATTTTTAAAGATAACTAGACTTTCAAGTACCAGTACATGAAAGAAGCAAACTTGCAAGTTGCAACACCGTAAGTTTGCAACTGAAAAGTTGACAATAAAAGAGATATCATAAATTTTCTGGCAATCAGAAGACTCAAGCAAGTTATCAGTTTGGGCTTTTTTTGTATCTACACACTTCGAAATTAACCAACAAGAATTATTTGTTTGTTGGTAAATGTCGTAATACAATCATTCTCTTCATCTTTAACGAATTAAAGTTGTCTAACATTTCGTTTTAGCAATGATAACAACGCTTTAATTTTCACTAAATGGGATATGTTTGGCTGTATTATGATAATGGTTTTAATCTCTGCTTTTAAAATCCACCAAGAGAGGATATTATCATTGTATAGATTATTAAACTATTTCACAATATCAACAAAAAAAATATATTTTTACAATAAATGAGGTGTCAATAATATGTATTCGGGTCGCGCGGTATATAGTTGTAAATTGATTCAGGGAAAGAACTTGTTTATTTATTTATATAATCCCTCATCACTATCACATTCTTAAGGAAAAGGTTAGACGATTTGAAACTCTGTCTTTAAAATATCAATTGCATAGTAAATTAATTGGATGTTTGAGATAACCCATATTTACTTGATCACTAAATTTATCACAAGGGTCCATATCACTAATTTTCTTTTGATAAATTAAAGCCCATCAACCATTGTTAAAATTAATAATAGGCCCAATATCACTTGAAAACTCAATAAGATTAAGATTGGCCCAATAACATTTAAAAGAGGCTCAATTACTATGATTGTCGGTCCAATAATTTTTAAATGTCCAATGGTCCTTTTTGGAAATTTATTCCTTTTTAGTCCTATATATGTACATGATTAAAATCAGTACTCTTATTTATGCAATTTAACATCTACTTACTCCTATTTGAGTGTCACTATTATCCCTTTCAATTTCTCAAATTAACATTGTATAAAATTCAAGCACAAGGTGTATTTTTTCTTTCAATTTTGTTTGAGTTGTGCTAGGTGTACACCAAGCATTTTTCATTTTGTGTGACGTCACTTTTTTTTCTCAACAGAGAGCATTTGTTTGACTATAAAATAATTGACCAACAATCATTTCTTCTTCTAATTGTGTTATTATCATCATCAAGGATATATATGAGCTAGAATAAATAAGTACAGCTATGTGACAAAAGGAGAAGAAATTAATTATGCTGAAAATAATCTGGCCAAGATGGTAGTCCGGATTCGTTGCTTGTAGCTATCGACATGAATAATGAACAAGATCCGTCTCGGTTCAGCCTGTCTTATTGTCAAAGAAAATCGATCCATGAACTTAGTAGTGATTGTTGGCTAGGAACATCTGAAGCAAGGCAAAAGCTCTACGCGGTTGAAACTGTGGAACTTGATGCCCAGCTCCTCTAACTGTGGCGAATGTTAAACCATCATAAACCACCTTATATCCACCAACCTGGAAAATTAGCATCAACCCATCAAACTAAATTTAAGCTAAATCATTGGTTTTGTGATAGGAAGCATCAATTAAAGAGGGGTTTAATTTAATTTGAGGCCTACTTCTTTGGTGCCATCTTGCCATAGATGCCAAGGCTTTATCACTGTCAAGTTCATAGCTTTGAGGGAATACCGGGTTGCAGTCACTGAAACCACCGCATCTTGGTCGCCACTGTAGAGTGATCAATCATTAACAGAGTTTGTCTCACATGAATAGGGGCAGAGGCTTCTCCGAGTTGACCGATATAAAGAATATTTTTTAAAAAAAAATTACCTGGAATTTCTTATATTAAAAATAAAGACATTTTCTAATATGGGGTGGGCAAAAAGGCCTAATACATTTTTTTATACTAAAAAATAAAAAATAAAGTTTACTCTTATCACATTGATTTTTCATATCATGTTATAATGATGTATACGGTATGCTTCTTTATCAAATGTTACACGGTCAAGATGATGTGTTGAATGTGAGACTTCACAATCCTCACAAGATCAATCCTCACAAGATTTCTGGTCATGGAAAAGTACTACCTCCGTCTCATTAATATTAGGAAATGATGAGGTGGTACAATTATTAAGAAACATCGATTTAGGTGGTCGATATTAAATATATAAAGTAAGAATAATTTAAAATCACACAAATTCTAACAAATTTTGTACGAGACAATATTAGTGAGATGAATAAAAAAAAATGAGATAATTTAGCAGGATGGATGAAGTATGTCTATGTCGGGCCGTAGGGTGCTAATCACACGAGCCAACTTGGAAGTTACTCAAAACCGATTCAATTTTTATTCACGTCTAGCTTGAGTCGATTCAAACTTGACTCACACTCAAACACGATTCAAACTCCCAACCAAGTCAAGTCATGTTATATAAAATAAACTCGAAAAGCTCGCAAACTACTCGTTTAAATTGATATTGATTTTTCAATTTCATACATTTGAGTATTAGAAATCCCTATTGTCCAATCAACAAGTAGGCGGAGAATTTTACAACATCTATTTTATTTTTCACTAATTATTAGTGATTGCACATGCGCATTTAAATGTAAAGGCAAATTAAACCATTTGCTTAAATATATATACCATTTTAGAATAGATAAAACTCAAACATTCGTCAGGATAAAACTCGAGCTCGAACTCAAATTCCACTGAAGTTAAGTTATACATTTTCATGACTCTTGAAACTCGATTACAGTTTGAAACTTTGAACTCGACTCTTTTTTTATCAAGCACAATTCATGCACCTGATTAGCACGTTGTGAACATGACAACATGTAAGATATTGAGTTAAGTGAATTACCTGAAAAGAAGTATTTGGAGACCAGTTGCCATTAACCTCCTATATATTGGGAACATCGTTGAGGGTCCATATATCCAGCTTCGAATCAAATCACTTCAAGAACCATATATAACAAAACATTTATATAGAAACCTTAAAACAATTTAGCCATAATGGGAAGCACAATGATCGAATTGAACCTGCAGAGTTCCCAAGTGTAAGGTGTAGGATTGCTGCAGCTCCCATACACACACCCACTCCATGGCATGAAGCTCCATCCTCCATCAATTAAAAGGTATGGGAAGGCATGGGAAGGCATGGGAAGGCATGGGATGCTATATGGGCTGCATGCAATTGTCTCCCAGCATTTCCCTATAAATAGGGTGGTTCTAGCTTGATCAAATGCATCAAAAAATCGGAGTGAAATCTAGAGAGCAATACACATAGAGTGTGAGTGTATGAAAGGGTTGGTTTTTTGTAATAGTTGAGTGAGAGAGTTGCTCCTCCTATTGTAATTCTGTTCTGGTTATGAATAGAAGAATTTTCCAATCCTAACAAGTGGTATCAGAGCCAGGTTAATCCAGAAACCCAGATTTCTTCATTCTGCCCGAATTTTTGGTCAAAATTTTTTTGTTCCAGAATCTTGTTTTGAGGCCACCATTAGCAAGCTCTCGTTCTGAGGATTCCAAAAATATATTTTTCGGAATTTTTTGACCACCGGAAGGCCTCCAAACGTCCGGTCAAAGTTTCTCTCTCCTGCCAGTCATAGCCGCTGCAGTACTCCAGTCCGGCAGCAACCTCGCCGGAGAAGAAGACCAGTCAGCACGCCACGTCATCGCCACGTCATCGCCACATCATCGCCACGTCATTGCCCAGTCATCGCCACGTCACCGACAGCCGACCTGTTGGACCACCTGCTGTGCCACGTCATCTGACACGTCATATGCCACGTCATCAACACGTCACTGTCCAGGTGGTGCCACGTCATCAGCCTGGTTGGCTGCCCACTGGTTTGGGCCAGAACCGGTCCGGTTCGGCTTGTGGTTCAATACTCCGGTTCACGCTCTTCCCGGCCGGTTCTTGAAGAGGTGAGACCGGTTCCCACCATTTTCGGCCATTCCGGATTCAACGGTGTGCTCCGTTTGGCCTAATTCAGCTTCCAAATTGAGGTACGGGAATAAGTGTACATATTTATCATGGAAAAGTCATCTTCGGATACAATGATTGCGCTCACTTCCACAAATTACAACATGTGGAAACCACGGATGGAGGATTTGTTAAATTTGAAAGATTTAGCAGATCCTCTTGATAATAATGGCGTCAAACCAGATAAAAAGACGGATGAAGAATGGGCTAAGATGAACAGAAAAACTGTCGCACAAATCCGACAGTGGATTGATCATAGCGTGTTCCATCATGTTTCTCAAGAGCAAAGTGCTCACACACTATGGGAGAAACTTAGTAGCATGTACCAAGCAAAAACTGCTCGGAATAAAACGCTGCTGATGAGACGATTAGTGAACCACAAGTTACGTGGTGGCATTTCTGTGTCGGAACACACGAGCCAGTTCCAGGATCTTGTGAATCAATTGAGCACCACCGGATGGGTCCTCAAAGATGAAGAACAAGCAATACTTTTGCTTAGCTCTCTACCTGATAATTGGGAGACTCTTGTTGTTACTCTCAGTAATTCTGCCCCAAATGGTACCGTGACTATGCAGATGGTCACGGACGCCTTGATGAATGAGGAAGCACGAAGGAAGGAAGCTGGGACTGATCAGTCTTATGCTCTCGTCTCAGAAACCAGCAGGCGAGGGGGAGGCAGAAATGGAGGTAGAGGACGAGGTCGAGGCAGAGGCAGAGCTCGAGGTCAAAGTAGAGGGAGATCTCAAGCTCGAGGAAGATCACAAGAGCGGGGAAAGTCCGTCGATACCAATACTTGGTTTGAGGGCTATTGCAACCATTGTGGTCATTACGGGCACAGAAAGAGGGAATGCCGAAAGTTTCTACGGGAGCAGCCTCAGACGAGTCAAAGTTCAATCAAGGAAGATGGTGAGACCATGGTCACCATGGCACCGGACATTGCACTTGTTACTTGCGGAGAAGAAGCATGCCTACACGTAGGTACGCATGATATTGAGTGGGTGATTGATACCGCTGCATCATTTCACGCCACTCCGCACCAAAGTCTATTTGCAACTTATAATTCCGGAGACCATGGTGCTGTGAAGATGGGAAACACGAGTTTCTCAAACATTGTTGGCATTGGAGATGTGCACATTCAAACAAGTGTTGGCTGCACACTTGTGTTGAAAGATGTTCGGCATGTTCCAGATCTGAGATTGAATCTTATCTCAGGAGTTGCTCTAGATCGGCAGGGGTATGAAAGCCAGTTCAAAGAAGGTGCGTGGAAATTATCTAAAGGCTCTATGATTATTGCAAGAGGTCATATCTGTGGTACTCTTTACAAAACCCATGTAAAGTTGTATCCTCCAAGTCTCAATGCTGTTCAAGGAGAGACATCACCAAATCTGTGGCACCGGAGGTTAGGCCACATGAGCGTGAAAGGACTGACAACTCTTGCAAAGAAGGAAGCAATCTTTATTGATAAAGATGTCGCTCTGGATCCCTGCGAGCACTGTCTATTTGGGAAACAACATCGAGTTTCTTTCAGTTCCACTAGAAAGAATCATTCTGAAATACTCGATCTTATCCACACTGATGTATGTGGACCCATTGAAGAGGAGTCACTTGGAGGCAGCAGATATTTTGTGACATTCATTGATGACGCGTCACGAAAGGTATGGGCTTATTGTCTCAAATCTAAGGATCAAGTATTTGATCGCTTTAAAATATTTCATACTATGGTAGAAAGAGAGACAGGAAAGAAGCTGAAGTGCCTTCGTTCTGACAACGGAGGCGAGTACACTTCCCGGGAGTTCTCAGCATATTGTGCTGAACATGGAATCAGACATGAGAAGTCGGTGCCACGGACCCCACAACATAACGGTGTAGCCGAAAGAATGAATCGAACTATTGTGGAGAAAGTTCGGTGCATGCTCAGTATGGCTAAACTACCAAAGCCATTCTGGGGTGAAGCTGTGTTGACAGCTTGCTATCTTATAAACAGGTCACCCTCAGTTCCCTTAAACTTTGAAGTTCCTGAGAAGAAATGGTCAGGAAAAGACATTTCTTACTCTCACTTGAAAGTGTTCGGGTGCAAGGCATTTGCACATGTTTCCAAGGAGTTGAGGCAAAAACTTGATCTTAAGTCGAACCCATGCATCTTCATCGGCTATGGAGATCAAGAATTTGGATACCGGTTGTGGGATCCCGAAATGAAGAAAGTTATTCGAAGCAGAGATGTAGTGTTTCATGAATCCCAATTTCATGATTTTACTCCAACACACAACAAACAACATCTCTCTCATGCTCCTGAAGACGTTCATGTAGTATCACACGTTCCTCTCAATAACGAGGAAATGAGTGATAATACTGAACCAGTGAATGATGGCCCAGTAGTTGTTGATGATGTTCAAGATGGAGGAATTCCTGAGCAGGGGGAGCATTCATCTGAAGGCCACACTGACAACACACAACTTCGACGTTCTACGCGAGGTACTGTTTCACAAAGAAGGTACCCGACATCTGATTGGATCCTTCTTACCAGCGAGGGGGAGCCAGAGAGCTTTCGAGAAGCTCAATCCCATCAAGACAAGTCCAATTGGTGGGAAGCCATGGGAGATGAGATGAAATCCTTGCAGAAGAACCAAACTTATGACTTGGTGCCACTTCCCAAAGGAAAGAAAGCCTTGAAAAACAAATGGGTTTTTAAGGTGAAGAAAGATATCAAGGGAAATATTGTGAAGCACAAGGCAAGACTCGTGGTCAAAGGATTCCAACAAAAACAGGGAATTGACTTTGATGAGATCTTTTCGCCGGTTGTGAAGATGATGTCGATTCGAGTGGTACTCGGGTTGGTTGCCAGTCTAAATCTTGAACTTGAACAGATGGATGTGAAAACAGCATTTCTCCATGGTGATCTAAAAGAGGAAATATACATGGAGCAACCCGAAGGTTTCCAAGTTCCAAAGAAAGAACATCTTGTTTGCATGTTAAAGAAGAGCCTGTACGGCCTCAAGCAAGCCCCGAGGCAATGGTACAAGAAGTTCGACTCATTCATGGTGAAGCACCAATACAGGAGAACAGTGGCAGACCATTGCGTGTACTTGAAGAAGTTCCCAGATGGAAAATTCATCATCCTTCTGCTCTATGTGGATGATATGTTGATAGTAGGCCAAGATGTGTCCCTCATCAACAACTTGAAGCAAGATTTGTCTAAGTTTTTTGATATGAAAGACTTAGGCCCGACGCAACAAATTTTGGGCATGAAAATTGTTCGCGATCGGAAGGCAAGGAAGTTGTTCTTATCACAAGAAGAGTATGTTGAATGCGTGATCAAAAGGTTCAACATGGATAGTGCCAAACCTGTAGGCACTCCGCTAGCCAATCACTTCAAGTTGAGTAAGGAAAGTTGTCCTTCTTCTGAGAAAGAAAAGGAGATGATGAAAGCAGTACCCTACTCTTCAGCAGTAGGAAGTTTGATGTATGCAATGGTGTGTACAAGACCTGATATTGCTCACGCGGTTGGTGTTGTAAGTAGGTACTTGTCAAATCCAGGAAGAGAACATTGGGAAGCTGTCAAATGGATACTTAGGTATCTGAAGGGTACATCAAAGCTATGCTTGTGCTACGGGGGAGCGAAACCAATCTTGGAAGGTTATACAGATGCTGATATGGCTGGAGATCTTGATAGTAGAAAATCTACTTCAAGTTACATATTCACACTAGCAGGGGGAGCCGTCTCATGGCAGTCCAAGTTGCAGAGGTGTGTAGCATTGTCTACGACAGAAGCTGAATACATTGCCGCTGTTGAAGCCGGGAAGGAGCTCAAGTGGCTGAAACGTTTTCTCCAAGAGTTGGGCTATCCTCAAGAGGAGTACATCATTCATTGTGATAGTCAGAGTGCTATGGATCTTAGCAAGAACTCGATGTATCATTCACGCACAAAACATATCGATGTTCGATATCACTGGCTTAGAGAAGCAATTGAGGAAGATGAACTAAAGCTCTCCAAGATACACACAAACAAAAATGCGGCAGACATGCTAACTAAAGTGGTGCCACACGAGAAGCACAAGCTATGTACAAGCATCATTGGAATGAGAGAATTACGGAAAAAGCTGGAGGGGGAGATTTGTAGGATTGCTGCAGCTCCCATACACACACCCTCTCCATGGCATGAAGCTCCATCCTCCATCAATTAAAAGGTATGGGAAGGCATGGGAAGGCATGGGAAGGCATGGGATGCTATATGGGCTGCATGCAATTGTCTCCCAGCATTTCCCTATAAATAGGGTGGTTCTAGCTTGATCAAATGCATCAAAAAATCGGAGTGAAATCTAGAGAGCAATACACATAGAGTGTGAGTGTATGAAAGGGTTGGTTTTTTGTAATAGTTGAGTGAGAGAGTTGCTCCTCCTATTGTAATTCTGTTCTGGTTATGAATAGAAGAATTTTCCAATCCTAACATAAGGAAGCTTAGTGGTATTGGCATGCAAGGCTTTTTGTACAGCAGGGAGATTGAGATAAGAATGAACATAGTCACTTTCACAAGGATCATATCCTGCATTCCTCTTTACCTTCTTTGGACTCTTGGAATCAAAACACAATGGTGAATAGATGCTGTAAAAATCTAAACTTCCCATCTCTGTTCCCGCCGCGCTTTCGATGTGATTACATTTCTTGCCTCGTTTGGGAAGGCAATTCTCTAGCATCGCGCTGTGAGTTTCGTCCGATATCAAGGCATGGCTCCAAATGTAGTCATACAATCCTCTTGCATCCGTGTCCCCATTCATGATTCCATTCCCAACCTAATGTGTAAAAATAATGTCCTTGAAAATTAAGTTGTACAAAACTCAATGTGAAACCAAATATTCATATCACAAATCAATTCATAAGTGTACACTTGTGATAAAATGCACATGCCTATGCAGCAGAAATGATGTGACAGATTTTGAGGGTATCCTTATGAAAATAGATATAGGGCCTATTTACTTACTACTTAACCGACTTAATTGAAATGATAACTTATTCGTTCAGTCATATTGTCTTGTTTACTTAGAAATTAATGCAAATTGTGTCTTATTCGCTCAGATACTTTGTCACTTATTCGTTCCTTTTGATTGTCCTTCCTGTTCAGACACCTCAATTTAAAAGAGTCTCGTTTTTAACCCTCATTTCTCCATCGTTGGCTTCTGCATTCACAGCCGATACTTTCATTCTTCGCTTGTCTTTAGCACCAAATTAGTCGCCGCCTTCACCTCTCATCGCCTACATCACTTGTCTAAATCCATTCCATCGCCAACGACCAAAGTTACATCCCCTATGACAAAATCTGGGAAACAGAGAGAGCTTGCCCCTGCAATTATTTTTGTTGGAAGCTTGCTTGTGGGGGGGGGGGGGAGGAATAGTGTCAGCTCTGCAATTAGGGGTCGGAACCCAGGGAGTAAAACTTTCTTCTTAAATTTAGGATAAATTTAAGATTAGGAGATGCTTCACAAAAAATACTTTAACCAACTTTACCCAAAAGGCCAAAACTATAAAATTAGGAGAAATATGTATACGAAGAAGAAGACTATTGCATATTGGGTTAATTCTGCCTGTTTTAATAGCATTTGGTAGAGCATAAACTTTTTATGGCCTCGTTCAGAATAATAAAAGGAAAGAGATAATATATACGGAGTACTTCGTATTTAGCATTTGTTACAGGAATACAAACATAAGGATAAATTGGTAATTTAATATAATTCAGACCATACATTCAGCACACATAGTAAACAACTTGTTATATCAGTGTCACTTATTCTAGACAGACATCTTAATCCACATAGAACTTAATGAGAAAAAAAGTAAACAGCCCCATAGAGTCCTTAGGGGTGTATGTGACCTACCTCTACTATGGTATTGACCTTATAATAACTTAGCCCAGGACCATAGATGAGGGCATGCAAGAAGTGCTACCGCACAAGGCCTCTCGATTTAGAAGGCCCAAAATTTTAAATATAGTCTACATAATATACAAAATCCTTTTTTATTTTATTAAAAATTCCTATTTTAGTATTTTGTTTTTAAATACAAACATTAAATACTACTCCCTCTGTCCCATTTTGGTTGTCCTACTTTCCTTTTTGGGTTGTCCCAAAATGAATATCTTCTCTCCTTTTTTGGCAAGAAATATGTGGTCTTTATCATTTTACTTTATTCTACTCAAATCTCAACCACAACTTTTACTTTTCAACCACATTATTAATAACCGTGCCAAATTGAAAGTGGACAACCATTATGGGACGGAGGTAGTAATATTTATATGTAATTAAAATGCAATTGCTAATTATAAATGTGCAACTTCTTTATTACATAAGGCATGGATAAGGCCTAATTATAGTAATTAGCACAAATTCCTCGTACAGTTTGGACGAGCTTGGTTTTAAGGGACGGAGGGAGTAGTTTTTTCAGTAATATCCTATTCTATATTTTTTAGTTCATGATTTTAATTCATTTCTTTTCGGTTTTAGTTTTTTTTACCGATCTTGGTTGTTCAAGTTTGAAATATGATTATATGATTTATATCTCAATGGCACATTTGATTGTAGTCTTTTTTGGGTTATTTTTTAAAGGTTGTCTTTTATATTATACGAAGTATTTATTTAATATAAGACCTATTTTATGTGATTTGCACCGGGTCTCCTAATCTATTGAGCCGGCCCTGACTTAGTCATTTATGTAGTACAACTGAAAGCAAAAATACTCCTAAAATATTGTCAATTCTAAGTGTTGTACTACTAAAAAACAAAAACAAAAACAGAGTATTGGTTTAGATTTTTTTATGCAAAGAGTTAGATTTTTTTAGTCAAGGTTTTACCATAATTCCCTTCAGTTGGATCGTTAAGGTGGTCTTGGGCAAGTTATTCCTATTGACAATTAAATCGGCAAGCTCTGGGATGTAGAATCCTATTAAACACAGGCATAACCATAACAAGATTATTTATGTGTTACTTTTCCACTTTTCTTTTTCATTTACAATAAGGGAAAATTGCACTTTTAGTCCCTTAAATAGTCATCATATTGATATGTCAGACCTGTATTTATGAGATTGAAAATTTCACTCCTCAATTGTCCCAATTGCTGTAAATGTGGTCCTTTAAAGGGTGAAATGTACTCATCACCCATTCGCCCACATTGTACATTTCACCCCTCAAAGGATCACATTTACAGTAATTTGAACAATTGAGGGGTCACATTTACAACCTGGGGAACACGAGTCTGACACTTCAATATGGTGACTATTTCAGGGACTAAAAGTGTGATTTTCTCTTACAATAACTTAAATAAAAAAGGTTTCCTTAAGACGGAAGCTACCTGCATAGCTTTCTCCAGCAATATACGAGTATAAACTTCTGGCCTTGTATTGTGGGTATCTCTTGAACCAATTTACTATGAACTTGTAGGAATCTTGTGCTATCACACAAATTAAGAATTCAATAAACAAATATATGGAGATTGAGAAAATGTGTGTTAATTAAGTTCTTTGACTATAAAGTTGACTTTTTAGAATGAATCTCGATATCGGTATTTACCAGTTTTCTTGTCTCCCGACTTTCCATAATCGGCGGACGTATTGGAATAAGAGAAACCAACCCCTGCAGGTTACTCCAGAAATAACACATTTGCAACTACAACATTGCAATTAACAAGTAAATGACTACCTTGAAATAAATATTCAAGTAGGCAGATTAAGTAATAAGAGTGCTAGTTCAATGAATGTTCTCTAAATAAATTTTATATTTGAGTACCTTTATTCCACGAATATCGTCTAGGGTAGAGGGTTTTTCCATCAGGGATGACGCCAAAAGGTCCAAGCTCTACAAAGGCACCCATCCCATGTGATGAACAACCAGGACCTGCTTGGTTAAATTCAAAGATACCTAGTCAAGACTATTAATTTAAATAAATAAATCAATGAATGAATGAATGAATGAATAAATAAAGGAAATCAGGTAATCAATTTAAACCAATATTAAACCTATAACTATTGAACTTTTTTTAATTTTCTACATTAATGTTTACTTTTCATCCATATTCCTTGTATATTATTATTCCCTTTTTCTCAAGCACTTTCTCGATTTCAATTAAATAGTCCCTAATAGAACTATATTTTGAAATACTTTTGATCTACTTTTTTGTATACATGTTTTCAGTGAAATTAATAAGAAATTGACAATTAAAAAACAGTTTATAAGAATGTTATCTTTAATTAATGGTCAATGTAGGATAAAGCTACTTGAGGAAACTAAAGCAGATGATAAAAAACTTGGAAAATTTATCTATTAAGAGCCCATTTCACTACAAAAAAACACGCCTATAGTCACGGACTTTAGTCACGGATATCGTCCGTGACTAGCCTAGTCACGGGCTAGTCACGGACTAGTCACGGATTTTTCAAAAAAAAATATTAGTCACGGAAACGGCCGTGACTAAGTCCGTGACTACATAAATCCGTGACTACGAACCGTGACTAAAGTCCTCTGGTAGCCCCGACCTCGTCGCCGGTTTGTCCGTTTTTATTCCGGCGATTTAGTCACGGATAAATCCGTGACTAAAGCCGTGACTAAAAAAAATTTATTTTTCCAGCGCCCAGAGGGCTTAATTCCCAACGGTATTATGTACGGAAAATTTGTAGTCACGGAAATGTCCGTGACTACAGCCGTGACTAAAACGAATAAAAATAGTCTACACGTGATTTACACGTCATTTACACGGTTTGGACGCGTAATGTACACGTATTTGCCTAGTCACGGACAAATCCATGTCTACGTCTGACATTCATGTTATTTCCATGTTTATATTTGTGTTTTTTATTAGTTTTGAGTAATTGTTACTCTAGAAATTACACACTTTTGGTGTAATAGTTTAGTTTGTAAAATGTTTGTAAATTGTTTAGATTAGGTTTGTTCTGAGCTCAAACAGGTCCAAGACCACTCTAGGGACCATTGGTGAACATCACAAGTGGAAGGAAGGTGCAAAAATTCCAAAACAAAATGAAGATTCTGATTTTTGGTGTTGTACCCGGTCGAGTATACCCTATACTCGATCGGGTAAGTTGCTGAAAAATCAAATCGGATAAATCCGCGAACAAGGCAACATGCAGGGAAGATTTTAACCACGATCGAGTGTCTATACCCGATCGGGTAGCCGACATACCCGATCGGGTATGCCCATGTTTTTCCAGCTTCTGCGAAACAACTGAAGGCCCGATCGAGTACCCAATATACCCGATCGAGTACATGACCCTGCAAGCCCAAAAAGCCTATAAATACACCCCATTTCCTCCACAATAAATTACCAATTCCTTTATACTTCTAAGCTCAGTTTAGATAAGTTCTTTCTTTATATTTTTATCATGTTTAGTCTCCAAATGAGGAGCTAAACTCTTCCATCTTGGTTTTGCTCTTGAAGCTTGATTGATTATTAAAGTTGTGAGTTATTTTTACTTTCTCCTCTTGATTATTAATTCTTCCCTTAATCTCATTCTATATCATTGTTGGAGGGTGGCTAAGTGACGATTAGTTAACGTTCCGACATTGATTATTACTAGAAACGTTCAACGAACCGATGGTTAAACGTTGAAGGTTTCATAAGTAAGTAACTTCGGTTTATTAATGCACGGTCGTGGTTAATAAACTAAAGAGGGATTAATTTTGTTGGTTAAACCGAAACCGTTGTGTTGAGGTTATCAATCTCAATTGATTTCATCAAGGAGTTAAAGAGGTTAAATGCTGCTATTAAATCGGTATACGGCGTTGTTCTATATTTGGTTAATAGTAAGGGTTATTAATGAACGGTCGTTGTTAATAATTACCCTCGATGAATTGGATATACTCCTCGGTTGAGTATTCGAGAGGGGATAAGTTATAGATATAACAATGATCGACTAAAATATATCAACAAGTGGAAAGTAGCAAGACCAAGTCCCTTTTATTCCTGAATTTAATCCCATATAACTCGTTCATCTTCGTGTTTAATTAAATCACTCAACAAACAAAACCTCCCCTTTATTTACTAGTTCATTAAAAGAGAATTATTCCTTTCCCCGTGGATACGAACTCTACTTCACCTATACTACGTATAAGTGCTAGTAATAAATTTATTTTGAATGCACTCACGACAAAGTGCACGTCAAATTTGGCGCCGTTGCCGGGGAAGATCCAGGGGATAAGTTATAGATATAACAATGATCGACTAAAATATATCAACAAGTGGAAAGTAGCAAGACCAAGTCCCTTTTATTCCTGAATTTAATCCCATATAACTCGTTCATCTTCGTGTTTAATTAAATCACTCAACAAACAAAACCTCCCCTTTATTTACTAGTTCATTAAAAGAGAATTATTCCTTTCCCTGTGGATACGAACTCTACTTCACCTATACTACGTATAAGTGCTAGTAATAAATTTATTTTGAGTGCACTCACGACAAAGTGCACGTCAAATTTGGCGCCGTTGCCGGGGAAAGGCAATTAATTTTTCTTTTTATTTTATTTTAAGAAAAAGAAAAAAAAAATATGGTTTGAGTATAAAGATTTCTATTTCTGCTGAGCTTTGTAGTACATGGTAAAATATCGTTCACTGAACGAAATCACATACCACTCAAACCCCGAAATAGAACGAACTCTCGAGCGGTTGAAAAACAAATTTTCAAACTCCGACTCGGGAGAATCATCAAGTGCTAGTTCTCAATCTAGCGAGACCGAAGAGCCAATCACTATGGCTCATGAAACAAGAACATTGAGGGAGCTCACAGCTCCGAATCTAAATCAACAACCCCTATGTATCACTTTTCCAACTCTTGATACGGGGGTCACATTTGAGCTTAAATCTGGGCTCATTCATCTACTTCCCTCTTTCCATGGCCTACGGGGGGAAGATCCTAACAAACATCTATCGGAATTCCATATTGTGTGCACGAGCATGTGCCCCAATGGTGTATCCGAGGAGCAAATAAAGTTAAGGGCCTTCCCATTTTCTTTAAAAGACACCGCGAAGGATTGGCTTTTCTACCTTCCTTCGGGTAGCATCAACACATGGGCTCAAATGAAAAAGAGCTTCCTCGACAGGTATTATCCCGCATCTATCTCTTCAAGTCTCAAAAAGCAAATTAGCAACATTGAGCAAGCAGATGATGAGACCTTGTACGAATATTGGGAGCGCTTTAAGAAATTATGCGCTACTTGCCCATATCATGGATATTCGGAACAAGATCTCATCCTCTACTTCTATGATGGGCTTGTTGATCAAGATAGACGCATGGTAAATGCGGCATGTGGAGGGGGTATTGTTAACAAAACCCCTTCTCAAGCAAGGGACCTCATCTCCGAGTTGGCCGAAAACTCGAGACATTACAATGGGAGGTCATCATCAAAACGAGTTATGGCGGTGGAATCCAACAACTCGTTAGAAAGTCAAGTGAATGGCTTGACGAGTCAAGTGACCGGCTTGACTTCTTTGGTAAAAGATTTTCTTTTGAATCCCAAAACCCAAGAAGTCAAGGTCTGCGGTATATGCTCGACACAAGGGCACCCCACCGACTCCTGCCCAACATTACAAGAGGAGAACCCCGAGCAAGTCAATGCTTTGGGTTTCCAAGGTCAAAGAAGATATGATCCTCACGGCAACACTTACAATCCGGGGTGGAGGGATCATCCCAATTTAAGGTACGGAAACTCTCAACCTCCTCAACAATCAAACCCTCCTCCTCAACAATACAAACAACAGGGTCAAACATCGAACTCGAGCATGTCCACCGAAGACATGATTCGATCACTTGCCATGAATATGGCTACGATGCAGCAAAGTGTGACCCAATTTCAAGAAACCACAAAATCTAGCATCCACAACTTGGAGAGCCAAATCAGCCAAATCTCAAATGCCGTGAGTAGGCTTGAAGCTAAGGATTCGGCAAAACTCCCATCTCAAACGGAGCCGAATCCAAGGCAACAAGCTCACGCGGTCACTTTGAGAAGTGGCAAGGAGTTGGTTATGGCTAAAGCAAAAGCAAAGAGCCATGTTGGAGAAGAAGAGGAGGATATCTTGGTGCCAAGTACAAATCCTCAAAATGAAGAAGAGAAAGAGGAGGAAATCATACCTCAAAGAAAGTTTCCACCGCTTGATTCATACGAGCCGGTGCCACCTTTCCCGGAGGCTCTCAAGGACAACCGCAAATACAACAATGACAAAGATATCTATGAGACCTTCAGCAAATGTGAGGTAAATATCCCTCTTCTCAATTTAATAAAAGGTGTTCCTAGGTTTGCAAAGTTTTTGAAAGAGCTTTGCACAATAAAAAGGAAACACAAATTAAATGGCAAACATAAAATCCAAGTAAGCGAAAGAGTGTCAGCCGTTTTTCAAAAGAAACTGCCTAAAAAGTATAGTGACCCGGGAATGTTCACTATACCATGTAAACTTGGAAATTCTAGTTCTTCTAGGGCTATGTTAGATTTGGGTGCATCAATCAATGTCATTCCATATTCTCTATATAAGTCCCTAGAGCTAGGCCCTTTACATGAGACAGGGGTTGTTATCCAACTTGCCGATAGATCCAACGCTTACCCCAAAGGTGTAGTGGAGGATGTACTCGTCATGGTGGATAATCTAATCTTTCCCGCTGATTTCTATGTTCTCGAAATGGAGAACGATAAAAATGCAGTCCCAATTTTGTTAGGAAGACCTTTTTTAAAAACGGCCAAAGCAAAAATAGATGTTTTTAGTGGAGTATTAACTATGGAGTTCGATGGTGAAAAAGTTGAATTTAATATATACGACTCCATGAAATACCCCACCGATAATCACTCTCTTTTTGCAATTGACACTTGCGACACTTGGGTCCAAGATGTATTTGAGGTTGAGGGGAAAGACATGTTACTAAGCTCAATTGAAAACGACATAGAGGACTTCACTATGGAATACTCTATGTCAAACAACATGAAGATGATGGTGGCGGAGTTAAATCAACTCCCACTTTTGCCACCGGGCTCTAAAGCCCTCCCACTAACCATTCCGAGCGAGAGGCCGCTACCATCTGTTTTGCAGGCACCGGAGGTGGAATTAAAACCACTCCCTGAAAATTTGAAACATGTGTTCTTGGGCGAAAATCACACTCTACTGGTGATTATCTCAAATGCCTTAGCCCAAGAACAAGAGGAGAGGTTGATTGCGGTCCTCAAAGAGTACAAATTGGCCATTGTATGGTCTATTGCCGACATCAAAGGCATTAGCCCATCCACATGCATGCACCGGATCT